GGTGCACATAGGGGCACAGGATGCTCAGTCACGGGCGGTGCACATGGGAACACAGGACACTGTCATGGGCGGTACATGTGGGGACACAGGACACTCAGTCACAGGTAGTGCACGCGGGGGCACAGGACACTCAATCACAGGCAGTGCACACGGGGGACACAGGACACTCAGTCATGGATGGCTTTGTCCTGAGGCTCCTTTCCCAGGGCCACTTCCCTCCTGATCTATCCTCAGACAGGCAGCACCCTCCTGACTTCCCAACATCACACACAAACATGCACACGTGAGGACACACACATGCACATGCGTGCACACACCACACAAATGCACATATGTACACAGGCACCACACACACCCATCTGAGCATGCACATGTCAGCACACACATCACACACCACATTCATATATGCATATGTGTGAGCACAGAGGCGTCCACACACCACACACATACACATACATGTGACAGTGCACAGATGAGCCCACATACCTACCCCACACAAATGCACATGTGTGAGCAGGTGTCCACACACCACACACATACACCCATGTAACTGTGCACAAATGAGCCCACACACCACACAAACAAATGCACGTGTGAGTGTGCACAAGAGCCTACACACCACACACATACATGCACATGTGTGACACCACACATATATGCACATGTGTTAGCACATGAATGTGCACACACAGGACAGAGGCTCCCTTGGCCCTGCTCTCTGCTCAGGCTGCGAAGCCCCCTCACCCCCACTTTGATGGTGTGCACTGAAATAGTCCAGTATCTGCCTCAACTCAGAGCAGAGGGACGTGAACGACAGATGCACCTCCAGGCATGGGCGAACAGGTGTGCTGCCCTCCAGGTGCATGTGCTGCTGAGCATGGAGGGCGAACGGATTGACCTGTGACAAGTAGGGCACTTAGCTGGGCCTGGGCGGTTTGTGGTTACATTTGTGAAGGTCTTTGTGAGATAGGAGGGAGCCCTGGGGAAGAGGCCCTGGAGCACCAGGTGTCCTAGAGGGAGGGTCAGAGATGGAGGCTGAGGGTCACAGGAGAGAGGAGAGGGCAGAGAGAGGAAGGACAGGGAAGAAGAGGGGAAGATGGGGTGGGCCAGCTGAGCCTGGGAAGGCCGAGTGGGCATGCAGTGTCATTTTCTACCTTCGCAAGATGCCCTCTGTGAGAAGCACCAGGAGAGCGGTGAGACTCTATCCGGAGGCAGGATAACTGGGCTCTTAGTTATCCACAGAGGCCTGGACCTGGAGGGACTGAGTCCACAGAGCTCCCCACTGCCCGAAGCCTCATTTCCTCCCATGCACCACGACCTCTGGGTCAAGTCATTAATTCTGGGGCTTCCCACATCCATCTGTGATGTGGAGGAAGCCATCTCTGGACACTACCAGAATGTGGTCAAGAACTCCAAAGCCTCACCAGCAGGGCTGTGGCGGGGAGACAGGTGTTAATATCGCCTTCATCAGCCACCGTGCATCAGGTGGCTCCGTTTCCACCTTGTCCGGAGAATGCAGCCTTGCGGTGTGTGTGCCAATAACAGTGCTCGTTCTGTAAGTCAGAGCCTCAAAGAATGGACTGATTTCAGCTTCTGAAATATTTCTTGTTTTGATTTAAGAGTTTTAGTGGAATAAAAGATGGATTTCGTTTGAACTGGTTCAACAGGTAATCACAAGTTGAGCTGATTCATCTAGAAAAAGATGACTTTATGGGCTCTTTCATTGTTTAATTTGGTTCACAATCTCATTAGACATTAGCAGAGAAACCCAGTGAAGGTGATTGTGAAGAGCAGAGTGTGTCACCGTGTGGCACACAGCCCTCGCAGCTGAACACCTCAGCACCCTTCTACCATGGCAGCCACTAGCCAGAAATATCAGCCACTGTCTCTGGAGAGCACCTGGCTGTTTGGGTTTCATCTCTCTCCAAGATTCGATGGGTGATTCACTCAACTATGAGTGCTGTTCATGAGAGCCTTCAAGGCGTGGGTGTGGGGTGTCATGCAGCTTCTGAGCTTTTAACAGCGGAGCTCAGACTGCACCTGGTGTTGACCCACAGTTATTTATTTATTTATTTTTTTGAGACAGGGTCTCTCTCTGGCTCCCAGGCTGGAGTGCAGTGGTGTGATCTCGGCTCACTGCAACCTCCCAGGTTCAAGTGATTCTCCTGCCTCAGCCTCCCGAGTAGCTGGGATTACAGGCACCTGCCACCATGACTGGCTGAGTTTTGTATTTTTGGTAGAGATCGATTTTCACCATGTTGGCCAGGCTGGTCTCGAACTCTTGGCTTCAGTGATCTGCCCACCTCCACCTCCCAAAGTGCTGGGATTACAGGTATGAGCCACTGCACTGGCCTGGCCCACAGTTATTGATGGCGCACTATGCGTTTCAGTCCATCAGTTGGGTGTCACCATTGGAGTTGCAGAAACGTTTATCTGGAGGTGTGAACGGAAAAGGGGTTGAGTGTCCGGAGAGCCTTCTGCATGGGAGCAGCTCCAGTCTCAGCCCACACCCCACGGCCAACCACAAAACCAGCCAGGAGCTGTCCCCGGGAACAGTGGGCGTCCAGCGGATCCTGCCACATGCCTGGCCCAGAAGCCCCATGATTTTATATCCTCTATCAAGCAGACAGAGAATTTTCCGCGGTTGCTGTTGTTTAAAACCAGTGGCTCCTGATTATAAAATCATGAGCATGCTGTTGGCAGAGCTGAACCCTTGCTTTAAGGAGCGGAGGAGTGGGCATCTGACATCCATGCAGGAGGCAGGGGGTTCTCCAGACCCCAGGGGATTTAGATGCAGGACTGCCCAGCAGAGCCAGACGATGTATGCCCCACGGCAGGCAGGAGGCAGGGGATTCCCCAGACCCGAGGGGTTCAGATGCTAGATGGCCCAGCACAGCCAGATGATGTGTGCCCCATGGCAGGCAGCAGGCAGGGGGTTCCCCAGATCCAAGGGGTTCAGATGGTGGACAGTCCAACAGAGCCAGATGACGTGTGCCTCTCAGGGGAGGCTAAGGACAAACTTCTCTTCCAAGAACAAACTTTCACCAGACTTATTACCTTTAGTTAAAAAGCTAGTATTTTAACTTTTTCTATTTATTGATTTTCTATCATATCAGGACAGTGTCCTGAGCAGTACAGAAAAATCTGTACTTATACAGGAAATTATAGAAATTATAGAATTTTCTGAGAAATAGGAAAATGTATCTATTGGCATAAGTGGCTGCATTAGTATTCTGGGGCTGCTGTCGCAAATGAACACAGGTTTGCTATTTCACAGCCTGGGGATTAGGAGTCCGGCGTGGCGTCCACTCAGCGAGAGCTGGGCTCCTTCCAGCAGCTTTGGGGAGATGCCATTCCCTACCTTGCAGCCTCTGGGACCCCCCCGTGGGTCCCCTCCCATCCTTAAGGCCACAGATGGCCCTGCCTGCCCTGTCCCACCCTCATCCAGTGTCCCTTGGCCTCTCTCGTCTGCCAGCTTCCATGTAAGGGCCCTTGAGATTACATGGGTTGCACCCAGATGACCCAGGACACCCTCCCTATTTCCAGGTTTCCAGGTGGGCCAAGTAGCTAATCCCTCACCATGGAGCGTCACACAGTCACAGGGCCCCGGATGGGGACGAGGATTCTGCCTCCCGCAGCTGGTATAAATCTTAGATTACTCTGAAATAATCTCCTTTTCATGACCACCATATGAATTAAATTAATCATATGATGTTTGAAAAGATCACTGTAGTTTTAAATCCTTTTGTATGCTTATAACACGTTAGCATCTGCCAGGCTTTGTAATGTTCTTTTATCTTCAACCATTCTCTAAAATGCATTTTCCAGACTGTATTAGCTCTTTTTTTTTCTCTCCAAACCAGACAACAGCCGTTCTCTGGGCCTCAATTTCCATGTCTCTAAAATGAGATTTGTAGACTACCTGCCAATTTGTCCTTAACATCAGAGAGATAAAATATGGTCTCTGTTGCCAAGAAATTTGCGATATTTAAGGGGAGGTAAGAGATCTCTCCACACGTTGAGAACTTTTGCAAGGTTGCTTATATTTCTATTTGACTCTCTCTTTATGGAAATATCAGTGTCCAAGGGCGTGTGGTTCACATCCAAGAATTCACCTACAAATGTTACAGGACCAGCCCTTTCTAGGAAAGCCTGAGCTGTCACTGGAGTGGGTGTCAGTGCAGGTCAGGGAGTCGGGGCAATGGTAGAGCTGCCACCCTGCTGTGTTCATACATTGCTGCAGCGGCTGCCTGGTTATCTGGTTGATTGGAAGTTCTGCTGTGTTCATACAGGCTGTCTCTGTGGCTGTGTCCCCGGGCCCCGTGTCTCCAGGGCAGGCTGGTTTCTGTGGCTGTGACCCCTGGGCCCTGCGTCCCCAGGGCAGGCTGGCTTTGTGGCTGTGCCCCCCTAAGTCCCACATCCTGGGGCAGGCTGGGCTCTGTGGCTGTGCCTCCCTGTGTCCCCAG